GCTAAGAATTTGTGTTTCTATATATTTGGTATAAGAATACATTTAGCAAAAGGTCCACCGGGGTATATTTTAAATACTTGATTGATTTAATGCGAATAGGAAATAGATCAGATTGCGATATTATAGGACAAAATTTATCAATCTTTATTTACAAATGTCATGACATGCATCTTTAACACGAATAAATCATATTTTAAAAATGCTAAACATTATTTATAAGCTGACAATACCGTTCGTGAGATTTGGTAAAATAAAATTTTAAAAAAATTTAAGACCCATTATTTTGGTAACTTTTATTTTTAAAACCCAATTAAAAATGTAATTTCACCCTTAATTTTTAAAAAAAATTTTTAGGGTACAAAATTTTTTTCTTTCAAAAAAGTATGACATGAATCGGCCCAGTACATTTTAGTAATTTTATTTAAAAAACACAGAACTTGGGAAAGATTTAAAGCAAACGAAACAATAAAAATTTTCTTTATTAGGCAAAAAGATTTTAAAACTTTTAAAAAAAATTGGGTTTAGGCACCCTTTTGATGCTTTTTAGTCGTTACCTGGGAAAAAAATAGCTTTAACTATAAAAAACAAACTAAATTTTCTTTTAAAATGGGTTTTTTTGGGAAAAACTTAACCCCAAAATTTTGTTTAAAAAATCTCGTTAAAAAAAACCCAAAACAGAAATTTTAAAACGCGTATAACATCTTTTAAGAAAGATGAAGAAACAATTTAAAAAATTAATTTTTCCAGATTTCATAGATTACCCACAGACACACGCACGCACGCAACATAACGCACACACCCCGCCCTATCAATATTCCCAAAATGTTAATTAGGGGGTTTTCCTTTTTTCCCCTTTTCCCTTTTAGGACGAAAAAATTTCATTTCCAAAACTATCTGCGTAAAAGCTTTTAAAAAAAGGTTTCCCAAACACGGCCGATTGGGTCAAAAAGATGAATGAATTTGTAAACAGAAAAACCCAAACCCCTAATGGGAAAAAAAAGGATTTCTCAGAAAAGAGTTGCCAAAAATTTCCCTTTTCTACATTTCGGGATCAAAAAGAAATTTAACAAAAAATAGGGTTGAACCCACGAAGGACAAGTTAAGTCTTTCAAAAACCCGAGTCAAGCACAAAATATGCTGAAATGTATGAAGGGAAATGTAATCTTTTCATTGTGGAAACGAAAAAACCCCCGGCATTTTATTAAAACTTTCGGGCCCCCCTTGGGCCACCCAGGTTTTTTGATAAATTTGAATTTTGACCACGTGGGAAAGCTTCTTACAGAAACCTTTTTGCATATATTCCCCCAACGAAGAGTTTGGTGTTTTGGGGAAAAAGGGGCCCCACGACAATTTTAAAAAGTTTAAAAGACCATGTTTGGGGGTTTTAAGAAACTGGGCCAAAAATGGGAAAAACGATTGGAACAAAGCAATCGTCCCCCACAACGAGGCCGATGTCACATTTTTAAAAAACTCAAAACCCAAAGGGTTTTTGTTTCCCCAGGAAATAGTCTTTATGAAAAAGAAAAAAAAATGGGGTGGCGCTTTAACTTCAAAAACAAAAAATCTACATGTTTTTAAAAAATAATATAAAAGCAACTCCATTACACGAGAAACCGCGTTGAAAATTATCATGAAACCATTATTCGACCATTATTACGGTGCAGCGCTCACAAAGTTTCCAGTGCAAATCAATGATGATGAACCTCTTAGAAAAATCTCAACATTCAAAGAGATGGACAGACGACAGATGATTGAATGTTTAATTTCATGTCTGGTCCTTGCTAAAAAGCCTGTGTTGCAAGTAATAACAAGTCCACACTATTTTATTCCGAAAAACAATTTACTAGTCGGGCGAATAGATCGAAGAGTAGAAGTTGGATATCATTCAAGAACTCGGTGATTTGATAAATGATGGATGGTCGGAAACTTCTTTCTGGGTTCAATGGATGGTATGGTAAAAAACTTTACGAAAAAATTTTTAGTTCTTTTCTTGGCTACATTTTCCAGTTTGACCCAACCGTTCCTCGTTGATTCAAACAAAGCTCAACTGATCGTATTTTGCCCATTATTTCCGGGCGATTGTTTGCCGCAAAAATGATGTTTGTTCACTTTTTCCATCGAAGCATTCCCAAGATGGATCAAACGCTCTAACGACAATGGTTGAAAATCTTTTAGTTTGAATTTCGTTGGCAAATAAAACGGCACCAGAAGCAGCTAAACGTTAAATGAACTCGGTCCTGTGTTCAACAGTTGGGTCCTATGATAGCATCTTCAGATATCTTGACGGAAATGCCCCTACGGAGTGACAAGATTGCAATGAAATTTCTAATATGGGGGTTTTCCTCGGATATGGCAGCAAGAAGCACTAAAACTGGGCCTCAGTACTTTACTGTGCCGGAAAGTTCAATTGATGTTGAGGAAATAAACTTAACGACATCGAAAGCACTACGGTAATGACACTGTTATTACAGTTTGTAACTGAAAGAACAGAACCTTGGGAATGCCTGAAGATTCTTTCCAGATGAAATCACAAAATTTTTTACGGAACTTTGGGAAAATTCGCCCCTTTTTTCCGGAGTTAGTTAAAAACACGAAATTTACTGCGTTTTGTCCACTGCATTTTAAAAATTTTTCGGTTTTACGAAGGAAATTTAAAGTTTGAGGAAAATTTTTGTAGGTTGGGAAAGATGGGGTTTTGTGCCTTGCCATTTCTTACTTCGCAGTATCTCACATTCAAAACAAATTTGGGAAAAGGGGAAGAAAAAAGAATGCATTAGACAGATTGGCAGAGATTATTGTTTCTGAGCCGATGCTTTTTCATAGGGAAACAGCAATGAATCTGCTCGGACAGTGTATGGAAATGGAAGGACATACATACTTTGCGTTTGTTTGCTATAGTTGGTCCCTAAATGAGTGCGACACACACAACGTGGCCAGGTGGCATGCGTGCATCTTGTTATGGAAGTTGTTTAATACAATATTGTAAAATATATCTTGTGGATATTCAGAGACATGAAATATGTCAAAGCGGTGGTGGTAAAATAAGTACATACTAGTAAGTAGGTTCAAGACAAAATCAATGTTAAGGATGTAAAATACGAAAATATTACAATGAAGATAAAAATACCCTGTACCTTACAATGTATACGATTTGAAGGAATTTCTGCTGCAAATACAATTGATGGGAAATCAATGACACCAGTAAATCTTGAGTGCAGCCAGCCGAAGTAAAACTCGTTTCAAAATAGGAAAACTATTGCTATCATTACAAATCGTCGCAATATCGGGCTAGTTACATTTTTTTCTTGAATAAATATTTAATCTAAAAGTATATTTTAGCATATTGATAGTAATTCATATGCTATACATGTATTGTATTATAAAATTCTGTAAAATAATAAATAGTTGCACAACATTTCACATTGATTTAATGTAACTTTGATATATTCAAGTCTTTGTAGAAATGATAATATATCTTTATTGATTTCAAATTATCTTTTGTACAAATCGTTCACATTTGATACATTTTGTTACCTTAATATAAATTATGGAAAAGCATCTATTTTTATAAAAGTTCGTTTTTGGTTAAGTACATGTACATTTTGTATAGTTTGATAGAATATGAAATCATTATTTTCAGATCACTTTTATTGCATGTGTTGAAACAGAATCTCAGTATGTCATTTACAGCAAACCTATACAATTCAATGAGTATGGGTTATTTTGATGTTTTTCTCCAAATACTGTAATTTGATTCAATTCAGTTTGTATCATTTTTTTGCGATCACAGGAAGACGATGTGTTTCACAGCTTATATAGATATTTTTGCCAATATGTTCTGATCCTTAAAGCGCAACACTAACAGTAACGAATGTTCAACACCTCATTTCCATTTAAACACTTATAAAGTGTGTTTTCAAATATGATTAATTTAAAATCGTCTCTACATGAGTACTGAATTGATTTCAAATTATGACATTGTTAAGTCGAGTGTAATTTCTCGCCATGTAAATTTTCGTTATACTTAATCACCTACTCTTAAGAACACATATTAATTTCAACAAGAAACTATAACACAAAACTGACGAATGCTTCCGAACTGGTTGTGTATGTATTGCAGAAATGTATTATAAAAGGAAAAAAACAATAAAAGTAACTAATTGCTTAATATTGTTCTTGTGAAGTGCTTTTCATAGCACATTGACTAGTACTTTGGATGTAGGGACATAGATCTTAAAAGCGACAATCGTCATGATATGGAATACATTTATGCCAGGCTAATTAAAAAATAAAAATCATTCATTGGACGACATTGAAGTTAGTGTCCGGATTTGAATGTGTACCTTCAAATTCTAAGTGTGACCTTTTAGATAGTGACATGGGCCTTAGACGCGACACGTCTGCTCGGTGTGGTAGACATTTGACATAGGTTTTTTTAAGATATTTCAATGCATGACAAAGTTACAGTCTGGACACGAATGTTGTGTATGTGGAGACGCACAGACATACGTATGTGCACAGTGCGATTTTTATATGATGCCCTTTGGGGGCATAAAAACGGTTATGCAATTTAATTGTATAGCTGCTCTATTTATTAAATTACTGTTTTTGACATCTTGCATATTGCATCTTGCATATTATTTGTTTTTGCTATTGCTGAGACTTTATTCCATATTACATGTATTACAATTATTGTGAATCAAATTTATACCTATTAAAAATATGGACGAAACGCGAATGAAATAAGTTTGTCATCCTACACTTTTATCTTATATTGTGATGTCTTTTATTGTTCTGTTTTTGTGAAACGTACAAATTGCTGAAACATTTCTCTACATAACACTAATTGAGAAACACATTAATATATTTGATGATTAATGAAGATAAATGATTAAAAAGTTAATTGTTAGATATGTTGCTTGTAGTTCAAGTGCATAATTTCAAGCTTATCTCGTCATGTTTCCTTTCCCTATTTGAAAGTTCTCTTATCTTACACGTGAATATTTTTTTTTGTTTCAGACTTTTGAACTAGATGAATTCAGATCATAAACAATATAAACAATGGACCGTAATCATTTTTGTATAATTTTCATAATTACTCTAATTAAGTTAAGCAGTTGTGCTCCCGAAGAAGACAATCGGTCCAAACGAATTCTTCTTGACGATAACTACTATACCATCATAAACGAACTTCATAATTTGTCAAAAGAAGTTGAAATTTTGAAGTCGGATAATATTGTTTTGAAGTCTGAGAACGCTGTTTTGAGCCAACAAATACACGATCTTAAGGCAGTCAAAAGTAAGTAAGTTCCGTTTTTGTTTCATTTTAAAAAGTGAAAGAAAAGTATAAAAAGAAATTGTATCCGTTTAAAAAAAACCATAAAGCTATGGTGACTGATTTCTCCAGTTTCGTGTCTTCGTGGCTTCGCCCTTTAAAATCGAAGGCGAATACACGATGATATGCTCACTTATCATTTTTAAGCCTTCGACTTTTGACGGCGTCAACCCGAAGACTAGATACATTTTAAGCGAAACAACCATATTTTAATAGGCGAAGACACGAGATCTTTTTTTCTTAAAAATTATTTTGTTGGCGGGTAGAAATTTTCGTATCAGGGCCCTATTGGTCGTGCCGTTGTGTTTTCGCTTCAAAAGGCGAACAACACGACAATTGGCCAATTTATCGAGTCTTCATGTCGTCGTGTCGTGGCCCCGAAAGTTGAAGATAAGATGAATTGATTTGAGGCAAAAATACGACGATACGACAAATAAACTACGTCTATAATGAATCTTGTCGTCGTGTTGGGGTCCTCAAAACTTGAAGACGAAGACACGATAAATGAGCATATTATCATGTTTTCGTGTCATCGCCTTCGACCTTTGAGGGGCGAAGACACAAAATGGCAGAAATCAGCCACCATATGAAGATAACAAGATATTGTCTGATTGTTTGTAAAATAAGCAGAACAGTTACTCTTTTTTAAAGTACATTTTGTGTTTGGGTATATCTTCTTACAGATGTTGCCTTCAGAGCCACATTGAGAACCACAATTACAGGCGGCCAGAGACAAATTATAAAGGCCTCTTTTCTTGTTCAACTTTATTTCAGTTGTTGCGTTCAAAGCGTCCTTGACAACCCCAATTTTGGGCGGACAGAAACAAGCAGTCATCTTCAATCATGTAGACCTTAACATCGGCAATGTTTACAATGTTCATCACGGTAACTTTGTTGCACCAATCAATGGCATCTACCTTTTTTCTTTACACGCTTGCAGTCATAGTGGCCATTATATTGTCCTTGACTTGTTATCAAATGGTTCAAAGGTAGGACACCTTCTGGCTGGCGACCAGGATTATAACAACTGCAACTCGAACACGTTTATTATGGATCTAAAGCAGGGAGATGACGTGTACGTGTCAACAGGAGGTGGAGATTATTTACGGACTTATGAACCTGACGGATATCCACATTTTTCTGGTGTCTTATTGAGTGCAAATTAATTGTTTCAATAAAAAAGATGTTGATTTATTTTTGATTTGTGTGTAATATTTTGAGACCGGTTTGTCTGTGATTTTTCTTGTATGTAACGTTGTTTTTTTTTAAATTGTCATTATGCACAATGGTTTAATCATCGAAAACCGTCTAGCTAACGACAAAGACTATGTTTCATAGTACAAAATGCCATCTTATTCTGTGAACCATATTTGTCTGGTCACACTTTATACAGAAAAGTGTAAGTCTTCAGATTACGTCTGCCTATATGTCTATCAACAACTTTTCGGTCGATATGAGGGGGGGGGGGGGGGGGGGGGGGGGGGGGGGGGGTGAGCCATTGAAGGAGTTAATAACGTGTAAAGCTTTTTCACCAAAACATCTAGGCCCAAATGGTTTGCAAGTTGTTTTTTTCTGCAATTTGAATAAAAATGTTTTAAAGTTAGAACAACCATTTTGTGTCTGCATAATATGGTTGAAAGATATTTATGAAATTTAATTGAAAAGAAGACAGCAGCATTTAAATGAGGTGCAAACCCATGGTCATGCTCACAGTAAAAGGTCATTTATTTAACATTTGAACTGCATTAAAGATACCAATGATATTTGGATAAAATATATCATATGTTTTTTACACGATGTACAGAAATAGTAAGGGTATCCGCTCTAAATAATGTTTAAAACACACATACAAATTACTGTTTATCGCATGATCCTTTTTATCATTAAATTTGATTTCCATGTAAAAGTGAAAAATCGTGTGTTACTATTTAATTACAAAGGTAAAAAAATATTTTTTCAATTTAAAATGACAAACAATATCAACCAACCCGTATTAGATTTAATAAGATTACAAATTTGAAAACTAGTTGAGCGCATACTATAACAGGATCTCCCATACTACTTCACGCTGTTGCAAAGTCAAGTTACGTCTTTTAATGGCACCATATCCTTATTCTCCAGTTAAAAAAATTTAAGCTGAATCCCAACAACATAACAGTAAATCTTAAACTCAAACCAACAAAAATTTATTTAAAACTTAATTTTATTAAAAAGGGCAAGTAATTTACGTTTATTTGATTTTTGCGTCCCAACCCTTATAAAATTCGCATTGGAAATTTTTTTTAAAAAACTCATAC